ATGCCTTTCTTTTCAATTGCTTACATTAGTTATTCAAATTAACATCTTTGTGTTCATGGTTCTCATCTATCCAATTTACATCTGATAACAATATTCTCACAAATTCCGATGTATGCGAATCAACATCTCTTTAAATGTTTGAATAATTAGGAAAAACCACACCCACTTCCTAATATATAAGCTTGTCAAATTTTACTGTTTTCTTTGTTTGTGATATAGCAGAGACGAATAAACCCTTCTTCATACGAGTTGGTTCCACGCAACACAAATAATCCATTGGACTATCCACAGAAGAAAAATTTCACGACAGCTAAATTGCCTAGTTGAATTGCATTAAGCATGTGAAGTACTGCGTAATGAAACTATGACTGCCATGATTTTTTTTTGGTCTGACACTAGTAACAGTAAAACTTGTTCAGTTTTCAGAAATACTTCACGAGTTGAGTTATGGCGCTTGAAAACGACATGAAGGAGACTTGTGTTTTATTTTGAGAATTGTCAACCATTATATGTCTCCTGCTTGATGAGTAATACCATCTAAGTTAAGATTCAAATAGCTTGAGCATAATACATCCCCTGGACGTATTATGGATGTAAGAGTGGTCAAGCAGCATTGGAATTGAGATGTCATGTTACGGTGCTTCACTTGAACTAATTTTAGGATGAATTAAATATAACCAATGTTTGCTTATATTAATGCACGCAACAAACGGATTGATTGCTCACATAAGCGGCGTGACGCCCCAATTCCAATGCTGCCTGGCACAGCAATGTTTTCATTTTACCCAGGCAAAGTAGTCTAAGTGTGTTACTAATCCAGATGGCGCGTTGCCAGAATCCTTGTAGTGCTTTTCCGATGAGCTAAGTGGTGGGCGTCTCGAGATTTCCCCGAGGGCTGGAGTTTTCTCCTGAGTTGTTGGGATGTTTAGTTCGTCCTGATGGATGAGATTAAATGACGCCTTGCGTGTGCATTTAAATGAAAATTAAAATTAAATGACGTCTTGCGTGTATATG